CAGGAATTGATCTCTAGTAATGCAAAATAAAGTTTAATATAATCATCTGTGAAATTAACTAACTAAATAAATGAATGAACCTTCATGCTTATTCTATCTATACTTCCTGGCTGAAGTCTTCCTTCCAGGAAGATAAAAACTGAGAGATATATCACCTGGTAACAAGCTCTGTGCTTTTCCCAGACTGTACCTGCAAACTTTTCCAACTCTATCCATTACCTAGTCCCCAAGTTGCTTCTACATTTTTAGATGATTTGTTACATTTAGATGATTTGATTTACATTTTTTGTGAGGGTGTGGCTACCTCAACCTGTATCTCATAGAATGCTCCAGAAGTCTTTGAAGCTAAAGCTACATTAGGGAATGAGCCCTCATTAGGGAATGCCTACTGGGACTGTGGGTGCAGGGTTACCCTGAAGACTCCATTATAGGAGAGCCAAGGGCATAAAGCTGCAATGTATAAAAGCAACAGTATGGGTGATATCCTACAAAGCCAGGGGAGTTGAGCCTCCTATTAACCTTGAGAGCTCAATCCCACCCCAGCATGCCCAGAAGGTAGGACTCCAAGTTCAAGATTATTCTGAAGCTTTACGATTGTATTCACCATGTTGAGTTTTAGCATTTATCCAGACCTGTTTACCTATTTCTTTCTTTCCTTCTGTCTTTTGGCAATGAAAATGTCTATCCTGTGATTCTCCCACCATATATTTTAAAAGGTGATTTTTTTTTTTATTTCACAGATTCACAGCTGGTGAGGAATTTGCCATATGATAAATTACACTTTTGAGCCTCACCCATATCTGATCTAGATGAAAATTTGGATTTTAGAATTTGATTTGGTGCTGGCACAAGTAAAGATTATGGGGACTATTAGGATGGGAAGGAATATATATTGCATGTGAGAAGGACATTAATTTTTAGGGGCCGAATACTATGCCCTGAATATTAGTGGTTCCAATCCCAAATTTCTGTGTTGGATTTTAATACTAAATGTGATAGTATAAAAAGTTGGGGGTCTTTGGGGAGTGATTAAACCATGAGGGCTCCATCCTTGTGAATGGAACTAGTGTCTTTTAAAAGAATTTCACAGTGTTCCCTTGCCCCTTCCTACCAGGTGAGGACAGAGCACTTATTCTTATTCACCAAACAGAGCAAGCCCTCACCAGATACCAAATCTATTGATGCCTTAATGTATTGATGCCCAGACTCCAGAACTAAGAAATAAATCATTGTTTTTAAATGCTTCACAGTAAGATATGTTATTATAGTAGCCAAGGTGGACTAAGAAGACATGATCCAACTTTTTTTCTGTTAATGCTCTTTGTGTGTGCTCTCTTCTCTTACTTAACATGGCTAGCTGTATATCATTTAACTGAAATTTTCAAGAAAATCAACTTGGAGTTTCATTAATTTTTCTCTTTTGTCTTTCTTATTTCCAATTTAATTGAAGTCTGCTCTTATTGTTTATATTTCTATTCTTCTGAATACATTAGGTTAGTTTAAATTGTTCTGTATCTTTATGTATCTCTGAAATTTAGGTTATATGTTTCTTTTAAAATTTTTAATATGCATTTAATGTTATAAATATCCCATTCTAAACTGATTTTTACACAGCTCACAAAATTCTGTCACATATTTATTTCAATTTAAAACAAGACACTTAAAAAAAAATCTCTTGAGAACTCTGACTTGTGTGTGTATGTGTGTGTGTGTGTGTGTGTGTGTGTGTATGTCTTTGTGTGTGTGAAATCTGTAAATATTTGAAGTTTTCCCAACTCTTGGATAGAATTTTTTTGTTTATTTAATTTTGTTTGAGTCTGAAAACATAATTTGTATGATTTCTATTCCTTTAAATGTGTGAAGGTGACATAATGCGTTCTATCTCAATCAATATTCTATGTTGTTGGTGAATGGAATGCTCTATATATGTCAACTATATCAAGTTCATTCTTAGTTCAATTGAGGTCAGCTATACTTGTAGGATGGTATGTCTGATTGAAGTATCTGTTAGTAAAAGAATAAAGTCTCCAGTTAACAATAGTAAGTTTATCTATTTCTCTATTCAGTTCTGTAAGTCTTTATCTCCTTTAATTACATATTCTGTTGTTAGGGATGTGCTATGATTTGAATAGGAAATGGTTCCAAAGATTCACATACTGAAGGCTTGGGCCCCAAAGAGCCATGTTCAGAGGAGGTGTGAACTGGTACCTGTAGGAGGTGGGAACTGGTTGAAGAAAGTAGGTCACGAGGCCCTGTCTTGGAAGCATATTTCTTGTCCTTGGCTTCTGCCATGACTGTGCGGACTTCCACTTCTACATCCTTCTGCCATGCTCTTCTGCCTCACACCAGACCCAAAGCAATGGAACTGGTCAACCACACACAGAAACCTCTGAAACCTTTGGCCTCTCTGCGCCAAAGCAAACCCTCCTTTCTTTAAATTGTTTATGTTCAGTACTTTGGTCATAGCAATGAAAAGCTACTGTTTCTTGAAAAATTGATACCTGCATGATGCTTCATTCCTGTGGACCTGGGGTTTAGCATAGATAGCGTTTACAATGTTGAGATATGTTCCTGTTATCCCTACTTTTTCTAGTGTTTTGAACATGAAGGGGGTCTCTATTTTGTTGAACCTATTTCTGCGTCTATTGAGATGATCATATGATTCTTATCTTTAAGTCTATTGATGTGATGAAATACGTCTATTGATTTTCCTATGTTCAACAACTTTCCATCCATATGATGAACCCTACTTGATCGTGGTACACTATCTTTTTGATATGTTTTGTATTTGATTTGCCAGAATTTTATTGAGAATTTTTTGCATCTATGTTCAATAGGGATATCGGTCTCAAATTTTCTTTCTTTGATGTGTCTTTTCCTGGTTTTGGAATCAGTGTTATACTGGCCTCATAGAATGAGTTTGAAAGTGCTCCCTCTTTTTCTATTTCCTGAAATAATTTGATGACTGTTTGTATTAGTTCTTCTTTAAAGTTCTTGTAGAACTCAGCTGTGTATCCATCCATTTCTCCACTTTTCTTGGTTGATAGGATTCTGATGGTGTCTTCTATTTCATTGCTTGAAATTGATCTGTTAAATTGTGTATAACATCCTGATTCAATTTGGGCAAATCTTATGACTCTAGAAATTTGTGAATGCCTTCTATATTTTCTATTTTATTGGAGTACAAGTTTTCAAAATAATTTCTAATTATCTTCTGTATGTCTGCAAGTGTCTCTTATAATTTTTCCTTTTTCAACACACATGTTAATAATTTGAGGTTTTTTTTTCTCTCCTCTTTGTTAGCATGGCTAAGGATTTGTCAATTTTATTTATTTTTTCAAAGAATTAACTTTTTGTTTTGTCAATTTTTTGGATTGTTTCTTTTGTTTCAATTTTATTGATTTCAGCTCTGATTTTAATTATTTCCTGTCTTCTATGAATTCTGGTGTTGGTTTGTTCTTCTTTTTATAGGGTTTTGAGATGTAATGTTAGGTAATTTATTTGCTGACTTTTTCTTCTTTGAAGCAATGACCTAACTCCATGCAATGAATTTTTGTCTTATTACTGCCTTCATAGTGTCCTAGAGATTTTGATAGTGGTATCATTGTTCTTATTTATCTCTAAGAATTTTTTAATATCCTCTTTGATGTCTTTTGCAACCATTTTTCATTCAGTAGTATATTATTTAGTCTCCAGGTGTTGGAGTAGTTTTTTATTTTTTATTTTATCATTGATTTCTAATTTCATTCCATTGTGATCTGATAGAATGCAAGTTATTATCTCTACTTTTTTTCCTATTTGCTTAGAGTTGCTTTGTGGCATAATATATGGTCTATTTTAGAGAAGGATCCATGTGTTGCTTAGAAGAAATTATATTTGCTTGTTGAAGGATGAAATATTCTATATATGTCCATATGTCTAATTATTGATTGTATTATTTAGTTATTTAACTTCTTTGTTTAGATTTGTTTGGAAGATCTATCAAGTGATGAAAGAGGTTTGTTAAATTTACCCAGAATTATTGTATTGTGGTCTATGTTACTCTTGAATTTGAACTTGAGAAGAATTTGTTTGATTAATGAAGGTGCTCCATTGTTTGGGGCATGTATATTTATAATTGTTGTATCTTGTTGATGTATGGTTCCCTTGAGCAGTATGAAGTGTCCTTCTTTATCCCTTTTGATTAACTTTAGGTTGAAGTCTACTTTTTTTTGATATGAGGATGGAAACCCCTGCTTGATTCTGCAGTCCATATTAGTGGTATGATTTCCCCAGGCTTCAGTCTGTGTGGAGGTCTTTTCTCATGAGATGAGTCTGTTGTAGGCAGCATATTTTTTTTATCCAATCTGCCAATCTATGTCTTTTGATTGCTGAGTTTAGGCCATTAACATACAGGATTATTATTGAGACATGATTTATATTCCCAGCCATTGTTTTTGTTGTTGTTAATTAACTTGACTTAGTTTCTCCTTTGATTAGTTTTTCCTTTAGTGCAATTCCTCCCTCTGCTGATTTTCATCGTCGTGTTTGAATTTCTTCTTCAAGGAATATTTTACTGAGGGTATTCTGTAGTACAGGTTTTTTAGTTCTAAACTCTTTTAACTTTTGTTTATCATGGAAAGTTTTTATTTCATCATCAAATCTAAGTGTTAATTTTGCTGGATATAAGATCCTTGATTGAGATCCATTTTCTTGGAGCTTGGTATGTGTTGTTCCAGGATCTCCTGGATTTGAGGGTCTGGGTTGAAAAATGTCCTGAGATACAGGTAACTTTCTCTTATTCTTAATTTAACTAATACATAAGTAATGGAATGAATTACTAAGAGCAACAATGCATTAGATGATCACAGCACACAGAGAAGTAAAATGAGTGACAACAATATTATATAGAATAGGAAAAAATAACTGGATTACCAAAGAATTGGTCTCCCCCACATGTGATCTGATTCCTCTCTTTTGGCCTTTAAGATTCTATCCTTATTCTGTATGCTAGGCATTTAAAAAATATGGAATGGTTCATGAATTTGCGTGTCATCCCTGTGCAGGGGCTATGCTAATCTTCTCTGTATATGTCCTGCCGAAGTGAACACATACTCTACCTGTTTTAAATTAGTGTCAGCAAAGAATATCGTTCTGTATCATTTGCTTAAGTGTCCCTAAGTCTTGATATTTGAAATTAATTTCTTAGAGACCACATATATTCTGGTCTTTCTTTTTCACTTACTCTGACAGTGTCTTCTAATAGTGTATTTCCATCACTAACTTTTAAAGCTATATACTTGTTTTTTTGTTATATACTTGTTATTAATATCTATCATACTCACCACCATGTGTTGTTCAGTTACTCTAGAAGAGTCTTCACAGTTCTTTCTTCCTATTCTATATAACAGTGTTTTCACCCATTTTACTTTTCTGTGTGCTATGATCATCTAATACATTGTCAGTATTTAGTAATTTTTTCCCTTATTTAAGTATTAGTTAAATTAAGAATAAGAGAAAGTTACCTACATGTTTTCCTTCTCTAATGCTTTTCCCTTCCTCACATAGATTAAATATTTGATTCATATAATTTTTCTCATCTCTGAAGAATTTCTTTTAAGAAGTTTTTGAAAGAAACAGCTGAGGTGATAGGTTTCTTGTTTTCATTTGTTTGAGAAAGGGTTAATTTCTTTTTTATTGTTGAAGGGAAATTCAATTGGATATAGAGTTTTGGGTGTTTGTGGGGTTTTGTTCATTTATTCTGTGGTTCTAGGGATGGAACTTAGGGACACTTTACCCCTTAGCTGTACTCTTGACCCTTTACATTTATTATTTTGACACAGGGCCTCACTAAGTTGCTGATGTTGACCTAGAACCTGTGAACCTTCTGCTTCAGCTTCCCAAATTTTTGAATTTATAGGCATGCACCACTACCCCTGCTGTAGGTTGTTGTTTTAAGTTTTATTTTTGTGAGAAGTTTAATGAGATTCAATTGTCGTCTTGCTCACACAACTTCTGCTGAGAGGTTTACTATAATTCTCATCCTAGCTCTTTAGTAGGTAAGTTGCATCCCTCCACATGGCTTCTTTAAAACATTTTTGTTTGTTTTTGGTATTCTGCAATCAGTATATGATATACCTATGTTGTAGGTAATTTGTTACTGTTGTTTGGCATTTATCTTATTTTGTGTTCTCTGAGGTTCCTGACTAAATGATTTAGAGTGTCCATCCATTCATGAAGTTCTTTGTCACATTTCTTTTGTTCCACTTCTTTCTTTTCCTACAGTCCAAATAAAGTAAATATAATTTTTTATTTAAAAAAATGTCTAGTAGTGATTGGTAGAAGTTCTGGGTTTTTCCATGCTGCCTTGTTTTTCACCTCGTTTTCTCCTTGTGCTTCAGTTTGAGGAGTTGCTCTATCTTCAAATTCACTGATTTGTTAATTGGTGTGTCCAGTCTCCTCATGAACTCAGTGTGTACCTTTTTCATTTCTCTTACAGCTACTTTGATTTTTGTCACTTTCTTTTGATTATTTTTTAGAGTTTCCAATCCTCTGCTTATATTAACCATCTGTTCTTGCCTGCTGTGTACTTTTCCATTAGAGCCCATAACATATTAATCATCATTATTCAAAGTTTCCTATCTGATGATTCTAACTGTGTAATTTCTGAGTTTGGATCATATGCTTGCTTTGTCAACTCAGACCATATCTTTTCTTGCTCTTCGGTGTGGCTTGCAATTTGTTGGTTAAAAGATGAGCATGTTGTATTGGGAAATGGTAACTATGACCAATAGGGTCATTAGAATATTTGCTTTAATCTGGTTAGTAGAGGGGTCTCATTAATATGTTGTGAAGCTGTAGGTTCCAGAGGCTTTAAAGTCCTCTAGTGTTCTTGTCTACTTTTTGCGGTCTTCCCTAAGTAACTGGCCTCAGAGACAGTCCATGTCCTGCAGCTTTTTTCCCCCTTTTAATCCACTGTTATTATACTGGGACTTTGATAATATGGTATTGAAGTGTGGAGGAGGACAATTGCAGGATCCATAATTGTCATCACACTATCAAATGCCAGTCTGTTAGTAATTTTGTGTGTCTGGGATATGGCATGTGCAAATGTTTCTCAGGGGAAAAAGAAAGGCTCAAGGGACCTAGAGTTAGGTCATTTGTCTTCTTCCACATTCAACAGAAGTTTGGGCTAAGTGCTTTCCCTTGAAGAAACAGCCTGTGTTACAAAATTCTCTAGGATAAATTAATAATGGTCACTCTTCTCATTTACTTACTAGAGCCAAGGAAGTATCTATCCCAGATACTCCTCCACAAAAACAAGGTGGGACTCATTTTCATATTGGTCCACATTTTTCCTCCAGCAACTGATCAAAATGACCATTTAAGTCTATCTCCTCATTGTTCCTGTGTCTTCTACTGCAGGTAAGCAGAAGAAGATTTTTCTGAATTTTTACCTGCCTTTCTACATTTTGGTGTGTGTTATCTCTCAGAACTCAATTCTCTGGTAATTCTAAGAAAAATTATTGCCTTTTCTTTATTTCTTTAGCTCTTTTTATTTTTAGGATGAGAGTGACAACTTCCAAACTGTTTTTTTTTTTAATGTCAGAGGTAATACCAAAAGTCTGTAGATAATTCACATATAAATTATTTTGTTTGCCTTTTAGTTATGTGGCAGATATGAACATGAGATAACCAATTTTTTTGTTCAGAAAATGTGACCATAAATGTATATAAAACTTCATATAAATGTATATAAAAATGTATTAAATTTCTACTATTGTGCTCCTGTCACACGAAGTGACTGAATGTTAAAGTTATTACATTCAGAAATTTTACATCTCTTTCTTCACATTTTTATTTGATTTCCAGGAAATTGCATAGCAGTCTACCCTTTGTGGGATAGGAAAGGAGTCACTTGGGTCTTGGTTGTCACATACCCTCTGATATTTACTGTGGCATCTTGACTTCTACCAGGTCTCTGCTTATTGGACCATGAAGATAATGTTTGCTTCTTACCAGTACCAGTGGCATGGCCTCCTTCACCAGGTTTGATGGCTTTTTTTTTTTTTTTTAAATTCTACTCAAATCTTGAACACACCAAAAACAATCTATTCTTTTGTATATTTCACACACTATCTTTATATGGCATCCTCAGGTCCATCTTTGTAGACATCCTACATAACAACTTTTGTTCTACTATTTTTAATGCAGAAAAGATCAATAAGGCTAATTCTGGAAGCATCTTAAGGTTTTATTTTCTCTCAATCCATAAACTTGAGGGTATATCAATACATCTCCCACAGATCAGCCTCTAAGAATAGCTTCTTCTCATGGCCACATGTATTATCCCTAAAGAAAAGGGGGAAACAGTAAAACACCAGGTCCCTGAATGTGTCCTTTCTGTTTCCCAAAACCTAGCCAAGTTCAGAGAACAATGTGAGCCAACTCAGGCTGGAAAGTCCAGATGAACCCTAGTTTTCTCATATGCACATTGGGAATTAGGGTAAGTTAGTGTTATCTGTAAAAAGCTACTTTTGTTAGGAGTATACCAGAACAGTTCCTCATTGGGATGCTCTTCATATAACCAAACTAAGCAAACTAATGCTGATGATATCACTGCTTCTCAGACTAACTAATATAAAACCCTCCTCTAAGTAGGGACAGACACAGACCACAGACCACATCAAAACCTAATCGCCTATCTCTTCACTCTGTTGTTTTCCTATTTAAATCCTACAGCTATTGGCTGGTCTCTGGTGGGATGAATTTACAGTAAATGATCATATAGTTTTGTAAATCTCTTGTTTGTCATATGGGTATTATGCTGGTACTTTTTAGATTACATATTTTTTTAAGTGCAGAATCTCTGGTCTTTGCAATGTTTTCATATTTGGAAATCAAGGGACAAGGTTTGGCTTCTTCCTGTTTTCTGCTACAATAATGTTGCAGTAAGGTGACAATGACATATTTCCAGGGCTGAAGAGAAAGACATGAGGAAAGATTGGGGGGAGAGGTGATTCTACAGGAAATAAAATGAAACAAAATAGTAGACCCAGACCATATAATACTATATACAAATTTCTCATATAAAAAGATGAGAAATTTGTAGATAGTCTTATGGTGGCAAAAATAAGTACATAGCAGTAAAATTAAAATATTATTTTTCAGGAATTTATTTTAATTATTTTTCTAAATATTGAATTAAAATTTACTGGTGCATAAGATCACATCCATTCATAGAGTAAAAGTTAATGAAAGCTCCATTGCTTATGTGTTAATGTATCCTGAAAAATGTCAGGCACTACATTGCACTCATGGTAGGTATAAAGGATGGTAAGTGGAAAGCTAAAACTTGTAAAGTTAAAAATCATAATTTTTTTGTTCCTTCAATTGCTTAACAATTCTTCTTATATGACATTGCACTGGATAAATAAAGGCATAGGCAATTTATACACAATGAGTATCTAATAATTATCTAATTACTAGACATTGAATCTGAGGTAAGAGTATTTATCATTTGCCCCAAATCACTCCAACTGCCATTTCAAATTTAAAGCCTGTATATGTTATTGACATTGAAGCTATTATTTTGCCTTCTGATGTATCAGTGTTGCATTGATACTAAATAGAGCATTGGCTTGGCATTGTGTTAAGCACTAAGAAAGACAAAACTCATGGGTGACAGCATAGGAAGAAATCCTACCATATTACCTCTTCCCCATTATTTCAAAAACCTTTATCCTTACTCCCCAGTATTCAGCCAAATTTTAAAATAAAATCATAAATAAAGAAATATTGCTATAAATCAATTGGGACAAACTCTGTACATGTATGTTGGAGGTCATCTTATCAGCCTATCTTGCTCTTTTCTTTTTTTTCACCCAGTACATTATTATGGATTTTTCAATGGAGCAGTCAATATTCTTCATAATACCTTTTTGTCTTTTATCAGTGCATGGAGAGAAATTACTGGCATTTTCTTGTTTTAAGAAGAAAAGTTGTAATCAGTTTATTTTAGACGTGTTACCATAAGTGCTTTATTTTCTGCCTGTCACTGCTCTGGGTTGGAGAGAAACACAATTAGTAGAAGAGAGGAATCTGTGCAGCAAGCTTTTTCACAC